TAGCCATTTTCCCTCCCCAGTGTCATGTGACTTGTTAGTGTTACAAGGTCTCAGGTAACGCCAGAATAAAATCATATATCTTAGAAATCATTCCTCTCTGATGTGGATTGTTTGAAAACAAGCTTTCCCAAGCCTGTTCAGGAGGTGCAGAGGGGAAATCTAGAAACAAAATTTTGAATTTGAAAATAACGAAACAGATGCATCAAAGACACCATCGGCATACATATTTTTAAATTGTTTAATGCCCTTGTCATACCACGCTGAAAATGTAGGGTCCAAACACAATGGAGGAAATAAGTGGTTGTTGCTTAAAGGACGCAAAGAGGATGCACCTAAAAATTTAAAGCGCCATCTAAATTGATACCAAATCTTAAGTGTGTAAAGGACAACTTGATTATCAGTGTATAGAGAGAGTTTTTTTGGTAGAGAAGAATAAAGTAAAGCAGGTTGAGAGGTTTCCCTACAAGATGATCGTTCCAATTTACACCAAGAAGATCCAGGATATTTAACCCAGTATCAGAGTTTATGGATATGTAATAGAATAGCCCAGTAATAGAACTGAAAATTGGGTAAGTCCTCCACTAAGTCTACATCACTGCAATAAAGTTTTACGAACCCTTGTTGGCTTCCCACCCCAAATAAAAGTACTAATTATTTTATCCATTGAATTGAATAATTGTTTTGGCAGAAAAATAGGAACTAGCTGAAATAAGAAAAGAAACTTCGGTAATATATTAATTTTATCAACATTGATCATGGCAATTAGAGAAAGGGGAAGTTACCCCAACTCTGAATGTTGGATTTAAAATTTGAAATAAGGAGAGTGAAATTAGCTGATCCACCATTAGATAAAGAACGTGTCATGTTGATACCTAGGTATTTAAACCTGGAATGACTAAATCGAAACGTAGATCTGACTGTTGGAGAGAAAATGCTGCAGTATTAACAGGAAAACAGTCACTTATCTCCAAATTTAACTTATAACCCAAGACAAAACTGAAGGTTTCCAGAACACCTAAGACAGTAGGCATATAGACAATAGGATTGGTTACATACAATGACAAATCATCAGGATATAGCGACAATTTGTATTCAACACCGTATTGATCTATTCCTCTAAACAATTGGGAAGATCTTAATACGATAGACAGAGGCTCAATAGCGACAGCAAAACGCAGAAGGGATAAAGGACAACCTTGGCAACACCCTCGTCTGAGAGCAAAATAATCAGAATAAAGATCATTCGTATGAACCCTGGGTTTAAGGGATGAGTAAAGGAGGCGAATCCAAGAAATAAATTCATCCCAGAATCCGAATTTCCTCAAAACTGCAAACCAATACTCCCACTCAACCCTGTCAAATGCTTTTTCAGCATCTAAAGAAATTACAATCTCAGGAAGCTCAGCTGAATGCTTTGAATAAATTATATTAAAGAGTGTCCTGGTATTGAAAAACAACTGACGTCTTTTTATAAAACCGTTTTGCTCTTCAGATATAATATAAGGGAGCACGTTCTCTAAAAGAGATGCAATTACTTTTGCAAACACCTTTACAGTGTATAAGAACCACAGGAGGTTTGATCCTTACCCTCCTTAAGAACGAGAGCTATAGTGGCTTGTGCCAGAGTTGGAAGCAAAACCCACATTCCAAGGAATCGTTGAACACAGATAAAAGCAGTGGTGCTAATTTTGCAATAAACGTTTACAAAAAATTCAACTGGAGACCCGTCCGGACCAGGGGCTTTGTTAGATTGTGTAGTTTTAACTGAATTTCTTCAAGAGAGAGTGGGGAGTCCAGTTGCTTGTCAGTATTCGAATCAATAACCGTGTTACAAAGGTTTTGAAGAAATGCATTCACTTTAGAATTGTCTGTAGGAAATTCGGATTTATAAAGTGAAGAGTAAAACGATTTAAACGTAGCATTAATTTCCATGGGATCTATAGTAACAATATTAAAAGTATTTTACTAGGTATGAGATGGGAAGTGGCCTGTCGCCGAGCTGATGTGCCAGTAAACAATTCGACTTGTCGCGATGTGCATAGTATGAATCACGAGTACATAACAACAAGCATTCTGCCTCTTTAGTCAAAATAAGATTAAATTCTACCTGTAAGTCGAGACGCTGTTTAAGTAGTTCTGGAGAAAGGTTCAATACATATCTTTGATCGAGGTTACTGAGTTGTGTATTACTGAGATGTGAGTTCATTAAGCCTAGCAGTGCGCCTTTTATTAGAGAGAGCGCGGAGTAAGAAATTATCTACCCTCTGATATAGGATTTAAGTGTCTCCCATAACAATAAATAAGAAGTGGATTCATTCTGATTGGAAAAAAGAAAGTCATCAATAGTAGTTGAAACGCAGATTCAGTGTATGGGGATTAGACTGATCCAAGTTTGGGTCAAAAACACAGTTTAAATCACCTCCGAAAATCAACAGGTGAGCATTTAAAAAGGGGAGGTTGCTCATCAACCTATTAGCAAATTCCACATCATCAAAGTTTCGAGCAGACACATTTACCAACAAAACCTGTCTTTGCATTAGAGTACCAGCAACTTTAATATATCTACCATTCACATCAGCAATAACGTCAGTGGACGAAAACTGTGACCTTTTGGCAATTAAAATCGCGACCCCTCTAGTTTTCAAATTAAAGTTCGAGTGGAAGACTTGACTCACCCATGGGCAGTGTAACCTATAATGAATGATCTTTAATATGTAGATGAGTCTCCTGTAAAATACTATCAGAGTTTAAAAGTTTCAAATGTGTAAAAACCTTAGATCTCTTGACCGGATTACCCGTACATCTGACGTTCTAGTGGTCTTTCACCAGGCTTGGGCTTAGGCTGAAGGGTCAGTCCAAAACCAGCTCTTTCTCCAAACCAAACGCCTCCTTTAGTAAGGCCGCTACTGCAGAATTTGTACAGGTGTCAGGGCCCTCTGGAACTCACACTATCCTAATGTTATTGCACCATGACCTAGACTCCAATTCCTCACATTTGTTCTCTAACTTGGTTACGGTAGCAGTGAGCGACACAATCATAGTCTTCATCTGAGCCAAGTCATCGGTACAACCGGAGAGAGCATGCTCCATTTCCCCAACAGTAATTTCAATGTTGATAAGGTAGCATCAGTAGCAAGTTTATCACTAACCAGCTGTGTCTTCAAGGCTTGCAGGTCAAGCTTGATAGTTGACAGCGCATCCCCGAGAGTCTCCTGGAGTTCCTATTTTAAAAATATCAGCAATGTCCTTCCTCAGCGAAGCCAGCAACTCGAGCCTGAGGGTGGCGAAGTCGGGGTCAACGCGCCGCGAGGCGTATTCAGGGGAAGAAGGCGATTCGCTCGTGGCTCGTAGACTAGGCCTCAGTTGTGTCTGAATAGTACCACGGGCTTTCGTGTTTTTTCCAGACATTTTAATGTAATACAAAATTAAACATGCAAACAAAGAACGGAGTAGACTAAGTCAAAATCTATTGTATGACCGAAAAGCGCATGTTGATTACAATTTTAATCGAAATCAGCAGGAGCCTCCAACTTCGCGTCTTACTCCATTGGCAGCTCAGCAGTGTCTAGTTTGGTCGAACTAGTCACACAACTAGCAAAATAATTATTATTAAACTTAATTATAAGAAAAGTAGCAAAGCTTTTATAATTGTATATCGGTAAAATACTGGTAAATTTTTTTTCTAGCTATGATCTATCGTTTTCTCAGGCAGTTGAAATGTGATTAAATATGCAGTCATGTCGACAGAGAGAAAAGGATGCAAAGTCTAATAAGCTTATTAGTGTAATTTGAAGTAGATAAGAGATGACCAATAATAAAAATTTCATCCCATCAAAATGATGCCAGAAGCACACAGATATTGTTTGAGATGCTGTATAAAGTAATGTTTGTTTGTTTTTTTTAAATGTCTTATTGCAAAAAAAATTGTGAAAATGAGTTGTATCTAAAACTTTGGGCAAATGGATTGCTGGATGGTTGGATTAATGGATAGACTGGCTGGGTTGGTGGAATGGATGGATGAAGGATGGGTGGTTGGTTGGGTGGCTAGATGAGTGGGATAGATGAATTAGAGTTGGGTAAGTGGAATGGATGGCTGAACGGATGAATGGACTTTTTATTGAGCTCAAAGTGGAAATGACGACATTATTAGCTAGGTAATTCCTGTATTGCCTTGTAAATGTTTGTATGTGGTAGGCTGAATATCAATGTCTTTCCTCTGCTCTTGTGGCTCAATGACTGGCTCTAATGGCTCAGTGTTCTGTTGCAGAAATGAACCTCGTTATCTCATTGCATGCTGTTGAAAAATTGTATTATCTTCTTTAGCAAGAAAAAAACATTCATACAAACTAACAAAATACAACTGCCTATAAAGGATGTAAGATTTCTTATGGCATGTTATCAAGCATGACTCTTTTGTCTGTTTGTGGAAGGTTATCTCTGTATAGTGCTCAGATGATGTCAGTATTAGATCAACATATCTGTTTACAAACTATGTGGTCATATAAGGACAAATACAGAAAAAATATTGTGAAATCTAGATTAAAGTGTGAAAAGGATCTGACTATAGCAGTGAATATTTGAAGACTGAATGTGATTTCATTACTATAACAGGACACACCTTTATGATTATTTTTAGCTTAATATATATATATATATTTTGTTAAAGACCTTTATCTAGTAGTCTAATGATGTGTAAATTTTGTGAATATTTGCCAAAGAATATATTTAGGTGAAAGCACAACATCTTTTTTTTCATTTGTCTTCCATACTGCTATCCTACACAGGGTTGCAGGGGAGCGTCGGGGGGGGGTTTGGGGGGGCAAAGGAGAAAAAAAGAGGAGCGCCAAAAAGGACAAAAAAAAAAAAAAAAAAAAAAAAAACAAAACAAATTGTAAAAATGAGAGAAAAAAAACAATATATGTTTTTGTGTGGGGAGAGGGAGAAAAAACACACAAAAAAAAACAAAAAAAAAGGGGGAACACGCACGCTCTGTGCACACAAGGCAGAGGTGGGATTCAACACCCCCAACCTTGGAGGTGCAAGGCAAACATCTTAACCACTAAGCCACCATGCCCTTTCCTCTTTAATTTTTAATAATAAATAAATAATAAAATGCGGCGGTTCCACTAAATAATGACTTGTCAAAATAAATAAATAAAAAGAAATGCTCCATGTATATGACTATAACAATTAGAAATGCCCCGAAGCCTACAAGCACCCACCCCTTCCCCTGTTAAAGCAGTCGACTGATTTATCAGCCGTACATGTGTAATTTTGTGCATGCACATATTTCTACTCACAGAATGTGATTTCTTACGTTATTCTTGTGCATGCAGATGTGTGTATATTTGGAAGTACTCCTGACCTTGCGAAACCCCTAGTGGTATAAACATGCAACATGCAAGTAAAAAAAACAACAACAAAAATCTAAACATACTTCCAGAGTTTCTAGAGTAATGTGAAACTTGTTGACGTTCAGAATACTAATATTCTGCTATCTATTAGAGGTTTAATATTTTAGGTAAAGGTAATTCCACTTTTACTTGTCCCAGGAGTATTTACACTTCCCTCACTTCTGCTCTCCTGCCTTTTGTTTTTGCTCTAATTGTTCTTTCAATACCAACTCAGATTTTCCAATACATTTTCTGAGCAATCTTTTTTTTTTTTTGAAAACGAAGAAATGCTGCAATTTTGACCAGTCTGAATTCTGCTGAATTTAACAACAAAAAAAATTGGTAATAAATTTTGTGTGACATTAAGAAAACAGGCTCCCACTATTGAAATGAAAAGGATAAAGACCTAATTTATAATAAGCAATGATAATAAATATAGTAAAATAGATATAGATTGGCACCCCAACCATGGTGTCCCCCACCTTGTGCCCCATGCCCGCTGTGATAGGCTCCAGGTTCCCCGCAACCCAGTAAGGATAAGCGGTACAGAAAATGGATGGATAAAATAGATATAAATCAAATAATTTTAGTTATTTTGTAAAAAATATCATGAAACCCAAATAGAGGAAGAACGTTCAATTAAAATGATAAATTTTCAGATTTTATTATTTTAAAACTGTGTGTTGAACGCTTAATGAAAAGACATTCTTTATATGAAAATGTTACACAGAACATGTAGAGATGATCCAGAGTATTGAGTATTCGAGTCTTTTGTACATCTTCTGTTTTGTGTCTGTAATGACTGCTTCAGTCTCGGGATGGCACTGATGTCTCGGTGTCAGGTACTGTAGCGGGAGGGGCTCAGCAGAGAGCAACAGTTGAAGACTGAACACTCTTCCCTCTGTTTGTTGACTGAAATCATTCCTCTTGATACTCGGCCAACTAATTTGCAAGTACTGGGTTCTGGATCTTTTGTCACTTCCATTGGCAATGGTCTGATTTTGTGTGTTACTGTGTTATTTACCATTATACCAAAAGGGCTTAATAAACAGTATAAGCATCTGCTTTGCCATAACAACATCGGCTGCTTATTTCTTTGACCCCCTATGCCGTGTCTCAGCGATCACTGTGTCGTTTGCGGATTGTTGATTCAGCAGTGGGAGGTCATGAGGTCAGTGCTGTTACATAATCTACTCCTGCTTTTGTAAACAAGCTGGATGTGTTTTACGAAGGTTTGTGTTATGTTTACCAGCATCAACAAGATGTTAAATTGAACAGTAGTGATGAGTTATTTGAGAAGGAGTCTTTTCTTTTTCTAGTTGTTAATAATGGAAACATAATAATGGCAAAACACAACAATCATAACCATCACAATAATAATAATTGGAGGAATTTGAAAAAATATTTTTATTTAGCAATTGGTGGATAAAGCAGCAGTAGAGTTTGTAGGGAAATGCATACAAGTAATTGTGATCACATCAAAATTATTTGTGGTTTTGCTCTGTCTTTACTTTCCCTTACCCTGCTATTGTCTGGACTCTTTCAGCTGAGAGTTTGATGTAGAAGTACTTGTAGGAAAACTCCACAAAGGAACAAAATAAATATCTGTATGGTGACATTTTTGTGATATGTTTAGTGGTTCTGGTGCAAATTTGTTGGTTGGTGCAGTTTATTCGGTATTCCCATGAGAAGGTAGCGGTTGTGTGCCATGATGACGTAACTGGGGACACTTTTTCAAAACAGTGTTACTATGAATGCAGACTTCAATACACTGAAAAAGGCACACTATTAGCATCATAATATATATATATATATATATATATATATATATATATATTATAATAAAATTGGTTTCAGACTGTCAATGTTTAGCATTTTTTTTCCCCTACATTCTTTTGAATGTCCATAGCATAAAATAACATATCAGACGCCACAAGTTACACATTTGAATGGCCATGTAAAGTGAAGCAATGTGATAACATGAAATTAAAAATGACCTTTTATGGCCATGGGTTTCGACTCGGGGCAGCTGTCATTTGCTGCTATTGTTAAGCAACTTTAACCCCGTACACAGCAGCGTTTCACTTTTGTGCATTCGCCGTGAGTAGGTTAATAGTTGAGAAGGAGGAATTTGGCCAATATTTGCTGCAAGCCTTTTATAAATCAAATTAGTTTGAGAGAATGCAGGAATTACAGAGAGGGGTTAAAGTAATGCAAATATGCATACACATGATGCAGTATTAGACCACAAGCACATCATAATGAAATTGTGAAGCAGAATCCCGGACATTTTCTCAAATTTAGAAATTTTAGGCTTTATTAAAGTCCAAAAAGAGGACATATGGTCACCTAAGCTACATTCTTTGTCATAATAATGATAATGACTCTTTATTGGTCACATATACATATGCAAAGTGAAATTCTTTTCTTCGCATACAGAGCGCAGGGTCAGCCATGATACGTCGTCTCTGGAGCAGAGATGGTTAAGGGCCTTGCTCAAGGGCCCAACACTGGCAGCTTGGCAGTGCTGTGGCTCGAATCCCCGACCTTCCGATCAGTAATCCAGAGCCTTAACCACAAAACCACTACTGCATTATTAATGAGTTTTCGAACATAGACATAGTGGAGACAACATAAGCTAGACTCCAAGTCCTACAATGCAGTGCAGCTATATGATGCACTTGCGCTAAGTTATGGCAGAGACTTGTATCAAGATGATTTTGCTTTGCTTTACTAGCTATGTTCATGATATGTTCATGATTTATTCATCTGCAGTAACAACTGTAATGAAAGATGGGCTGGACAGTTGAAAATGCAACACGAATATTTTTATTTATTTTATTTATTTTATTTATTTTTTAAACCTTAACCTCAGTAATACAAGAATTGGTTTTTACTCTTTTTCAATTTAGGAAAGAGAAGCTTTGTACATGTCCAGGACTATCTTGCAGGTTGTAGATTACACGTGTTGTTGTTTTTTTTGTTTGTTTGTTTGTTTTCTGCTTTTCATACACAGGCTCATTTGATCTACATAATTCACTAAAACAAATCACAGCACTTCATGAGGGGAGGTGCGGTCTTGTCAGTCAGTCCTGACTGGCCTTGCTTAGCAAGAGTGGCCATGAGTTCATCAAATAGGATTTGCAAGTGCTTGAGGCAGCAGTTTTGTGTCATATCTCATTACAGTATCACCCTTGTGTTTAAGCACTACCAGACTGGACTGGCTGTGTGTGGAGCTTCCCTTCACACTGAGGAGGCTTTCTTTATTGGGAGACTGCATTTTGCACTGGCACTAAAGCTGAAAAGATGGAGAACAGATTGTGACGTCGGAGTGGCTGGCTTTAGCGGCACACTTATCTTTTTTCACCATCGTCTTTATTTGATTATAGGTAAGGAAGTCTGGACAGGGCTTTTATTGATGGGGTGGTTGTTCTGCAGGTATCGTCAATAAACCCTTCAACAGATTTGCTTTAATTTTCACTGGACCATGTTTTTGGTGCTGAGGGAATTAGATCACTGGTCCCTTTGACTTTGTGCAAACCATTAATTTGTAACAGACTTTGAACAGGTCAGTTGGGTTTTGTACGGTAGAAGATGAAAAGCTCAGCGTAGGTCTAGCTTGTTGCCATGGACACTTGTTGAAGAATTGGAAGGGATTTTCATGGTAAGAGATATCTGCAGGTGAGAATGATAGATATTTACAGAAAATGGAGCTAATATCAATCATTATCTGTGATTAAGAGAATATATAGCCTCTATTTTGATCAAGCTGTGTGTGTGTCTGTGTGTGTGTGTGTGTATTTTATTTTATTTTACTTTATTTTATTTTTTATCAGTCCTGTCGCTGCTACAAGGGTTAACACAAAAAAAGCAGCTGTATGTGGGTGGTAGCAATGAGTAACAGGTGATTGAAGGGCTGCATTTAGTAAATCCAGTACTTTTAGATAAATTAAATCCAGCTGTAAGTTACAGTACAAGTGAGCCCCTTTTGGCAGCATCATGGAGACTGATTTCCAGGAAGATTTATTTTAAAGTACTAAACTGAATGCTGAAATAGTTTTGGGTTTGCTTCTGGCAGCTTGGCCTGTTTGGTCATTGGAACGTGTTGTGGTTTGGTAGGAAGTTGTTCATTGCTGTGCTTTCTATAGTTCTGATCAGTTCAGTCTCTTAAAATCAAATTGCAGATTGTATGAATAGTTCCAGAACACTTATCAACTCCACAGTTACTCACTGTGACCTGAGAAATAGCTTACTTGACTAGTAACTAGACAGTTTGTTTAAAAAAAACAAAAACATTGCCTGATCTTCAATTGTCCGGTTTGGGTGAGCCTTTGCCTGCTGTAGCCTCAGATTCCTGTTCTTGGCTGATGGGAGTGGGACCTGATGTCTTCTGTTGTTTTTTGTTATTGTTTTTTGCACTATTCTGTGTAAATTCTAGAGACTGATGTGCATGAAACGCACAGGAGATCATCAGTTTCTGAAATACTCCAACCAGCCCACCTGGCACCAACAACCATGCCATAGTTAAGGTCACTGAGATGACATTTTACCACATTCTGTTATGGAATGGAAACTAAACCTATACCCATATGAATGTTAAAAATATGATGCTCTTGACTTGTATCTACATGACTTTATGCATTGTCCTGCTGCCACATATTTGGCTAATTGGATAATTTCA